ACAAACTGAAGCATCTGTGACTAGGAATTGGTGCTGGGAAAAGTACTGGCTTTCCAATAGTAAAGATTTTGTGGACAGAGGGAATTGTTAATAGTCGTGATTGGCTTGAAGTGGTGACAGAAGTGAAGTTAAAGTTCAGCAGTAACCAGACCTTTCATTGGAAAGTTTTGGTTACAGCCTTCAGAAACTTCAGTGTGTTCTAGATGGGGGGAATGTGAACAGTCCATGCTGAGAGGCTGTGCAGGTGCAGCCTGAATGGAGAAACAAGGTCTCAGGGCATTTCGATAGTCTGGAATAGTCAAAGGTGTAGGAGAAAAGAGATCTGGAACGTGAGCACATTGCAAGTGTAATTCATCAATTCCAATGATCAATTTGACTGCCTTTCTTGTTATTTATGATAGTGCTTCTGGGGATTATCAATGGACATCTGTGGTTGCAAAGCTTCATGGAAGAAACTGGAGACACTGGGAATTACTCGGGTAGTAAATCTGGAATTTAGCTTTATAATCTGGCCTGGCAGAGGAAATGAACAGCTCTTCTAGGGACCCAAGGCTCTCCTCATGTACAGAAATACCAAGCGTGCCCATCTGAGCCAGGCACAGTGCTGCTGTGGGAACATCTCAAGTCTGCAAGCCTTGGAAAAACAGAGATAATGCTCAAAAGGCAGGCCTGGCTGAAGTAGGATGGGGAAAGGAAACCCACTCATCTGCAGGATTTAGTTAAAATTGGCTGGTGGAGCCGTAAGTCTGTAAAAAAGACAACAGAGCACAAAGAGGATACAACAAAAACAAGGAATGCATGGGAGAAAAAGACCCCAAAATGCAAAACAGGGAATATGTGAAGAAAGAGTGTGCTGGATGTGGAAGGGCCAAGATTGCACGGGTTTTCTTGAAGAGAACTGAATAGCAAAATGCATATGTGGATGTGCTTATTGCAGGGTTACTATGGTGTAGATGTGCACTATGTGGGTATTGCTAAGATGGAGGGATCTCTGGGCTCACTATATGATCTCCCTCAGGTGATGGGTAAGGATAGCCAGGAAAAGTGGAAACACAAGTGTCCTGGGTTCAGCAGTAGCAGTCATTTTTCTCCTTCCTAGTAGCTGGTGCAGTGCTGTGGTTTTGACTTTCAGCCTGGGAACAGCGCTGATAACACCAATGGTTTTAGTTGCTGCTCAGTAATGTTTGATCTGACCAAGGACTTTGTGAGCCTCATGCTCTGCCAGGGAGGAGGGGAAGCCGGGAGGAAGCAGAGACAGGACACCTGACCCAAACTGGCCAAAAAGGTATTTCATACCACGGCAGTCATGGCCACTATGTAAACTGGGGGCAGTTACCCAGAAGGGTTAGATCACTGCTCCGTCAGGCTGGGTATCGATCACTGGGTGATGAGCAGTTGTATTCTCTTCCCTTGTTATTTCCCTTATCATTATTATCACTGGTGGTAGCAGCAGTGGTTTGTGTCATACCTTAGTTACTGACTGCTCTTATCTCAACCCATGGGAGTTACATTCTTTCCATTCTCCTCCCCATCCCTCTGGGAGTGGGGGGGAGGAAGTGGGGTGGGAGTGAGCGAGCTGCTGTGTGGCTGAGTTCCCAACTGGGCTTAAAACCATGACAGCAAGCTTCAGAAGATTAAAAAGATCCAAATCATATTAAATCTAATGTCCTATAGCTTGTTATGTCTTACTGAATGCTTGAGTATATCACAATTTTATGTAATCTCTCTGCTGTAGTAAATCTAGGACTTTCTGTCTTCAGAGCTGTTATTTTTCTTTAATTTAGACTAGTAATTTAAGGTAATATGTTGAAAATAATTGGAAAGGAAGGAATAGTCCAAGATTTATCCAAAATATGTTTTAAGGGAAAAGAATTGTGAGTACTGAATGTATTCATTGAATTAATATATTTTTGTTACATTCCTAATGCCCTTTAAAAACATGCCAGTGATAAACAAGGAGGAGTTTGATTTATGCAGCTGTTTCTGACCTATGTTTTTATACAAATACGTAAGTTTCCTGCAGACTACTTGGGCATTACCTAAAAAGTCTTTTGGGCTATCTATGTTTGATGCAGTTTCTGAGTTATTAGTTATTACTTACTGCCAAAACAAAATGAATGGTTTCTGTACCAATCTAATGACCCTGTGCTACATCCTTCTGTGGGCTGTAGGTAGCATAAGAAGTATAAAAGTGCTTTTCTACTTCATGCTTTGCTAAAAATTAGTCTATACTTCAATGCCAGCCACCAGCACCCTAGATTAGATTGGTATAGGATGTAGGTTATACTTTTCAGACAGGATTTAGGGTTATTGTTCAATTATGTGCTCCTTGGGCTCCAAAAGAACATACCTAGACCTGCAGCTACACCTACGAGCTGTTGAGATTGTTTTCTCAGGTAGTTTTTAGGATCTAATTTCTAACATTGACGATCCTCTGAAATATTGAGCATCCTGGTTCTCCTTCAAGTGTTGTCATGATTGGGGTTGCACAGTATGAATGCACATTGGCACAGCGCAGGTCTTCTAAAGTGCTCTTCTAAAGTGCTCTTCATCAAACTTACCTGTGTCAGTATTACACAAGAATAGAGAACTTGCTCTTTTGCTGCTGGAAAGTGGAGGAGAAAGTGTTGTTAAAAATGAGATAGGTAACGTAAATGTAGCTTTCTTTCTCTTTTGTTGTTGTTAAAAGGAATATGCCACAGGTTTTGCCTTCTAGTATTACAAAGCACTCCTGGAAGACTGTAAGCTTTCACAGGCAGATATGAATAATTTCTGTATATTGATTTTCTGGCTCTGAGTTTATATTTTAAATGTATTTCCTTCTCCATTTTTTATGACTGCAGTTTGCTTGTGCTTGGTCAATTTGTTAGAAGACAAGACAAAAAAATGATGAGAAAAAACTGCTATTTCCTTATCTTCCAGTTAAGAGGTGGGTCACACATGTAACTGGTTTTTCCATCAAGAAAATGAAAATGTGAATACTAGGCCTCAATTAAATGCTGTAACATGCCTGATTCACCTCTGGTATTCAGGTTTCTGGGTCCTTGGTGCTCATTAAATAGTGGAGCTCAGCCTCCTCTTCAGCATGTTCTCCTGTATTTAAGTATATCTGCCTACGGGGCTTACAGTCACTGTTTTCTTATAACAAACCCCAAACACCTCCTGCATGCAGAGTTAGATGTAAAGCAAGAAACTCAAACAAGGAAACATATTTTTTGACATCCCCTGAGGATGTTACAAACTGTATTTAAGCTGCTGAAAATTAAATGCTGAATTACTTGTTTTGCTCATCTCTATTGCTTCCCTCTCTTCTTCAAGACCTTTTCTACTTTCATGACTGTCCCTTTAGTAAAAATTGACATTTCTTACCCAACCTTGTTAATAGTCATCTTTAAATTTTCTAAGGAGATGCTTCTTTACTTCAGATCTTCTGGTCTGTTTTGCTATGAAGAAAATCAGCTTGTAGGATGCCGGAAACTACCTTTTGTTGGTTTAAGTAATGGTAGCATGTATTTTGTAGGCTATTTGAGTTTGCTTGCTCTTGTTCCAGATAGGGAGCTATGATTTTTTTTCCAAACAGCTAAAAATCTCTAGCTTTAGCCATGTCTGCCATAAGATGGTAAATCTATTAGCTAATGTATGCATTTAATCATGCATTCTGAACTGTAAGACTACCTTCCATGTCACTGGATGCATATGCTTCAGCTGCTTGTTTCAGTGTCATTAGTTAATAAATTTGACATACATTTTTCTGCATAGTAATCACAGCTTGTTTAAATGTAATTTATTCCCAGATTGTGCTCTCTATTGATGAATTGTTAAAAGCAGTAAAAGGTATCACATTAGTGATGCCCCATTGCCCCTGGGCTCCTCTCAACTGCAGAAGCCTTTGATGGCCTCTCCCACCTCATCCATGATGAATGGCTGGATGGACTTTGCCTTCCTCTAGCGACAGCAGATGTGACACCAGGCAGTGTGTGTTTATGCTTGTGGTGTTGGTCAGCTTCTGGTCCTTCAACCAGGTAATGGACTCCTTGTGGGTTGCACACCAGTAAGACCATCCAGGCATTTCAGTCTTAAAACTCTGCTGTGCTGGGACTGGGTCACCTAGCAGTGTCCTGTCATGCTTCTACCATCTTCCTCCATACATGAAGAAGTGTGAGTGTGTGTGTGTTTTCTCTGGGTGGAAGGAGGCACTCACCTATATGTCTAACATGTTCTCAGCATCACCTGAGCATCTTTCCAGCTTTGGTGTTGTCTGGTCCCAGGTGCGTGGATGGTTCTAAACTCAGTGTGGGTGAGACAGCTGCTTACAATTACAGGGGTAGGACTGCATGCCTTGTATGGGTATTTCTATTATCTACACTTGTAGGACTGCGTAGGTGGGTCACATTTATATTTAAACCTAAAGGTTACTTCAAAGCTTTAAGTTTATACACATGCTAAGCTGCTGTCGTTAAATTCAGATGATAGAATTTCTGATGAAGGTAGATAACACAAACTTTATAGTCATTTAATTTCACTTTCTTCTTTCACTATGTACAGTCTTATCTTATGAATTTCAGCAGTTATCAGAAACATTTTGAAACAGCATGACTTGTCATTCTAAAAGTGTGAGTATTCAACAATGAAACTGAGATAATGTATCTGCTTCAAAGTGAGATTCCCTCCCTCTTCCCCCCATGTTTTAGATACAAAGCTACAGTTGACAGGAAGAAATTAATGTTTTAAACACAAAAGAGGTAAAGTACATAAAAAGCATCATTTTGGCTTTAACTCCATTGCTGAGCCTTGGATAAGTTAGCACCCTGTTGTAGAGATTCTTCATACATTAAGCAACATTGTTCCTGTTAGAGTTGCTTTAAGAACTAAAATGTTTTTTGTGAAGCATTTACTTTTGCTATTCAGCAACAAACTAAACTGTGGTTTATTTTGGTTCATTTAGTTTATCAAGCAACCTGATTTTGGGGGAATATCTGGGAGAATGAAAACCAATTGCATGTACTGAAATGAGATCCAAGTCTCTATCAATGCTTTTATTTTTGCTTAAAGAAACAAAAACTACAAGCAATGAGGAAATTAACCTATATAAGGCATTAGTTCCCTCTCCCTCTATTTCAACTTATATTTGAAACTTGTTTTTATTACAGCATAGGTGAAACAATCATATTCAGCAGTGCTACTGAGATGGTACAGATCAGATGTAATGCTACCACATAGTAAAGAGATGATTTTTTTTCCCTCATTTTTTATGATAACCAAAGTCTATGAATTAAAATACACATTTTGATGTGAAAATTAAAGAACCCAGAACAACATTTTAGAAGTTAAATACAAAACAGTAGTAAATATGCAAAATACAGTTGATAAGCAGAGCAATGAGGCAAAAGAAATAAGGATAATAGTTGATTCTTAAAACGTAATTTGTAATGCTTGGCTTCCCCTACTCCCTGTGTGTCATTTCATGTCAGTTTAAACAGGACATCTATGCATCATAATGAGATGGTACCTGACAGTGTAGTTGAATTTAATCACCAAAGCATCAAGAAGGTAGTGACACTGGGAGGCCAGATATCTGCACTGGTATGTGATAACCATACTGGGTTGAGGAAAATGAGGTTAACAAAAATACAGTTTTATGATATACAGTACTTCTTCAGTAAAGAGAACTTGTCCAAAGTGAATACATCCTCTTTCAGCACAGATTTCTCATCGATTTCAAACAGGAATGTGAAAACTGGACTTACAGTACAACTGCTAGCACTGAGCGGTACCTTGGTTACATACATATGTTACACATTGTGCAGATATCGGGCGTTTCACCATGTTCCAGAAGAATTTCTTTTTCTTTACCCTGACATATTTAGTCAAAAGCTTGCTATAAACCATTGAGACTGAGTTGCTTATTCCTTTGATTTATCCATGAGGATCAGCACTCCTTAAAGCACAGATCAAAACTACAAACTCTACATAGGACCAATAGAGCAGAATTATTCAAGTTCAATGAAATATTACAAAAAAAAAAAAAAAAAAAGGCTTCCTTCTTAGGAAAACTCAGCTATGGTAAAAATATCTACTACAGTGCACTGCACTGTAATAAATATTCAACATAAATTAATAATTTACAAGTACCTGAGCAAGTATACAGAGCACCATAGCACAGCACAGCACCAGAGGCAGTAGCTCAGAATTCTTAAAAATAATGCTGTTTTAAACATTAAAAATCCTAAGTATTGTCATAAAAACGAACTCCAGCTGGAGTTTAAAGATAGTGCAAACTTCTGTCTTCACTTATTAAAATAAAGGTGTCAGATTTTCTAGTCATTTCACATCAGCAGTGTTGCTGGACCTGGATACTTGTGGTGGATGCTTAGGAGCAGGTCTGTTGGAAAGAAAGAAAACAGCAAATTGTTATTTAAGCTTCTGTTGGTTCTCAGTGCCAGAATCATGCTTGGGGCATGGAAAAACCTCTTAGAGGCATCCAACTTAACTTAAGACATGTAGCATGGGACTCTCATACTATGGGAGGGATCAGACATTGCTATATATACACAAGTCTCATCAAGAAACATCATGAGACCCAGTTGCTGCCTGGCTGGTTGGATAAGCTAGCTCAGTGTTTCAGGTGTTGCTCTTTAAACTCTTTGTTTCTCTCTCTTCCTGTTCAAAAACCATAGAATCCCAGCCTGGTTTGTGTTTTGGAAGGGACCTTAACGTGCCTCCAGCTCCAGCCCCTGCCACGGACAGGGACCCCTTCCACTAGAGCAGCTTGCTCCAAGCCCCTGTGTCCAGCCTGGCCTTGAACACTGTCAGGGATGGGGCAGCCACAGCTTCTCTGGACAGCCAGGAGCTCAGCCAAAGTTCAGCCTTGCAGGCTTTTTATTAGAACTATTAGGAAACTTCATCCTAGTCTTAATTTATATGAGCAATTAAATGTCTCAGTCACAGAATTCTTGAAACTTAAAATACTACTTTTATCTTCCTAGGAGTTCACTTCTTATTTTTATGAAACCAAAGAATATTGAGTGAGAAAATACCATAGACTTTGCCCATTAACATTGGGCATGTTTATTTAATGTCCATTTTACTTTTTTCCAGCATCCTTTTTTCTTGAAGGGTACAATTTGTGTGCTCTCTGAGTGTTTTGGGGTATTATTTTCAGATGATATAAATTGACATTTCTATTATGAAGTGTGTGAACAGAAAATTGCTTTTATTGGTGGTTGAACTTAGCAGCATTCAGTTCTCAGCCTAATGCTGTAGGTGGTCTGAGTAGGAAATTAGTCTTCAGTGAGAGCTTTGTTTCTCTTTAAATTGCTGCTTATTAACCTCTTTCTTTTGAAAGGAACTGTATTTCTTGGGGCAGATTTTGGAAATATAAAGTCAGGTGCTTACAGTCAAACCTTCATGTGCAGTATCAATTGTCATACTTCTGCAGAAATCAGTGCAATTATGCTGATATGCTCCCAGTGAGAATCAGCCCGATATTGTATGTTTTTATAACAAATAGGAAATGGATGTTGCATAGCTCTCAGCAATAGTTACAGCAGAGCATGATTACTCAGGACATTATAGACCTGCCATTGAGCAAAGTGCTGTAAACCAAGGCATTTTAAATAGAACTAACCTTACAGGAGTAACGTGAGGCAGAGGTTTTGTGTGTCCGGGCACCGCTGTGCATGCGCTGTTGTAGCGCGCTTTGGTCAAAGGGTCTGCTGGTAGAGGCTTCCGAGGAGGGTTTGGCTTGTGGGTTTCCTATTATAAAACATGAAAGCATATTAATCTTTGGATTTGACATGGCATAATTAACATAGCAACAACTGAGAGAAATGGAAGGTATGTAAGTTCAGAGTATCTTAAGAATCCCAGCCTGGTTTGTATTGGAAGGGACCTTAAAGCTCATCCAGCTACAACCCCATACCACAGGCACAGACACCTTCCACTAGACCAGGGTGCTCCAAGCCCCATCTATCATGGCTTTTTACAACACTGTAAAAGTAGCTATATAAAAAGATGAAAATACTAGAAATGACTTTAAAATGCAAATTCAGATGACCAGAAAACCAAACTGTTCAAGTCCAGTTTGAATTGGTAGCATCTGTGGAATGTTTTTAGCAATGCTGCTGTGCTTTCATTCTGTGGAATTAAAAGATTCATTAATAAAGAACAGAAGTCATCTGCTGTCAGGCATGAGCTAACGTCGTTTCTGTGTGGTCCTTGAAACACTGCAAACATGGTAACATGTCTATTTGTGGTCTTCGTTATGAAGAACTGGGATAAATTAAGTGCCTTGCTCAGGGCACACAAATACTCTCCAATATATCAAAAAACTCACATCAGATCCTTCTGTTGTTTGAATTGCGTAGTCATGCCTTTTCTAAGTTATTTTAATCTTTGCTATTAGTTCGCCACAGCTGCCATTGGTAAAGCTGACAAAAAGAAACAAGAGGAGCTTAAAAGCATGATCTAGTGAAAGATCCCCTAAAAGACGTGATCAAAACAAGCAGAGGCATGAATTGCTCAGGAATAAAATACAACTCTTCATTATTTGTTTTGAACGTCCCTTTGTTTTCTTACTTTTCACGGCCAAGGAGTGCTCTTTCAAGAAGGAAATGCAGGTTGACTATCAGTAGGCATTTTGACAAGGAAGAAAATGTGGAGCTTAAATAAACCTCATATATGGTCATTCCAAATTTACCACAAACTACATTTTCAAGCCATATAGAATGTCCCTCTTATGTCCCTCTTCTTTTTCACTCTTGACAGAACACGTACTAGTTCTTGAGTGAATGGGAAATTGCAACATGAAAGGAGTTTCTTATTTTAACTTATTGTTATGGCCAGATCTCATGTTCACGATTAAAATTAGCCTGAGTGTCATCCAGAAGGAATCACACCATAAACCAAGGTATGAGAAATTTGTCTGGGAGCTCTGTCTTTGGAGATCAACATAATTGCAAATATTCCTGAAGCAATCAGGCCTGGAAAATGATGAAGTAAACAGCATGCTTGTAAATACTCCATGTAGCTTTGTCTTGTAGGGCTAGCCTGTTCAAAGTCAGACTTTAATTGAACACTAACAAAGGAAGTTCTTCAAGGCATGATCGTTTCCCCTGATACAGAACTAGAACCTTAAAGCTCTTCAGAAGAGAAATTTTACCATCAGGATTTCTTAACCGAAGTTTACTTTGTGCACTGTATTTCTTACCCAATGAAATCTTCATGTGTGGGTTTTGAAGTGAAATATACCACTTCACAACAAGTTAGATCACAGCAGGCACTGATACTTTTAAATTAACTGAATCACCTCTGCAGTAAGATATAAATGTAAGTTGCTTCTGTAATAATTATTTTGTTAAAAGTCATAATGTATGTTCATTACATTATATGTGTATGCATCATCACCTTGACCGTGACAGCAGTTATAAAACCAAGTTGTAATGAACACACAAACATCAGCATTATAAAGACAACAACCAAAACCTTCATTCTCTTGACTGCTTTCACAGAACTGGCCTTTTCCCTCAAGTCCTTTTACGTGATTAATCTCATGAATTAGTCTCATTGCATGAGCATTCAGCTGTTTGCTTGATCAGTCCCTATTTGTTACTGCATGATTTGTATTTACTCTTCAACTAGCAGGATGCTCAGGTACCACTGCGAAGAGGGACGGATCCAGGTTCAGCGGTCTAGAGAAGCAAAGGTCTGAAGAGCTTAAGATCTGGTATGGATGAATGAACAAAAAGAGAGAACTGCCATGTCCTATGTCTAATCACCACTTGTAACACCTGATAGTAGACCAACTTTCTGATAAACTTATTGTAGCTAAGTACTTGTGGAACCCTAGCAGTTGCCTTTCCCCTGCTTCTTTTTGCAGAGGAAGCTGGCTGAAATGGCTAATCTAGATGTGCTGATCTAGAACAGTTCTTCAGCTGCAGAGGGATCATCCTCTCACAGCTCAGCATTAAGATCATCTTCGATGCCTAAGCCAGACTAATTCTTTAGGCCATCTTATTCCAGAAGACACATCCATGAGAGGAAGTTTGTTGAAACATCAATCATATTATAAATGCAACTCTAATTTCTTCTTTCTTTGCTTGTAAGAATGAGTTTACACTCTTGAGGAGGAAGCAGTAAAATGGCTTGACAGAAAGTCTAATGTGGCAGGCTGGTAAGAAAGGGTAAAAGAAAGAAAGAGTGGAGAGGGAATTCAGGTGAAAGTGGAGGTGGAGATCATGTAATGGCTGAGATGAAACAAAATGAAGGAGCACTTCGTAGAAAGGACGTGCCAGCACAGGAAAATGGCACCAGGAAAACAAACATCCTTGGAAGCAGAGGAAGATAAAATAGAAGAAATAAATCTCCTCTCTCAAACTGGCATTACAAGGTGGTGTTTTTATATTCTCTCTGTGCCACAGGAGAACCCAAATTGTATGGTTTGTATGTTAAAATGCATGTTGTATAGATTTATATGTTAAAATATGTGGAAACTTGCTGTAGCTTCTGATGTCCTGGCAAGACTAGAACACAGCTCATAGCATCACCATAGCGGTGCTTCTCTGCTTCATCTCTCCTTTCCAGCTCATTTTTACCCCTACAGAACTGCAGATCTTCAGTACAAAGAGTTTATGGATGGGTTTCTTTGTCCAGGTTTAGATCAACAACTTAGCATTTAATGCATTTACTGTGCCTGCATTTGGGGAAGCATTGTTTTAAATATTGCCATGATCTCTTTTTCTGCTATTGAGCAGCTACAAAGCCATCCGGTGCATGAAGCTTTAATTTTTGTCACTGATTTTTAAATAAGCAACTGGAAAGGTTCTTGCCTGCGATGCACTGGGTGAGAAGGGTTATCTATCTTCCTCAACCTATTTAGACGGGATCTTAATTTGTGTTAGCCCTGTACGTCAACAGCCAGTCTGAGGCAAGATATCGACAGGAGTAACTGTGGCAGAGTGAGCAGAAGGTGAGCCCAGCTCGGTTTTATTAAGGGGAAAAGTAAAAGCACAAAGCTGTATTTCCTGTAATAAGGATGACCTGTAAAATATGAGACATATTTTGGTAATAAGATGATGACAGCATCAGAGGCAGCAACTGAATACCAGCAAAACCAAGTGGAAGCGATCAAATCAGAATGCATGGACTGAACCCATGGTTAGTATAAACCTCCAGCCTTTCCTTGATTTCAGTGGTGATGTGCTGATTTATGCTGACTGTTAATCTGCCCCATAAATTAAGTTTGCCTTGTAAGAGCATTTGAAATAAGAAAAAGCTGTTTATTGATCAAAAGATGGTTAAATATTAAACTTGGCAACAGATAAATTACATTTAATTTGGGTTATTTTTGTTGTGGTGTTTTTTACTATTTAGATCAGAAAAGAAATTTTATAGCAAAATAATATGGATCATTCATTGCTTTCTCAACAGGCACTAAAGAGGACAAGAGTTGTCATAGAGTCTGCTTAGCATGTTGTGCCTTATCTATCCACTGCTCTAAGCCCAAAGGCAGCAGGAATGTAGCTTGTGCTTCAATCTCCTTCTTGTAAGGGAGAAGCAGAAGGAAGCAGCTGTGAAGCCATAGAAACAGTGAATGGTTTCAGACCCCGTTCTTCAGCGCTGTGCTGCAGTACTGAGCATCTGGAGGATATTATGGATGTAGCGATTTTTAAAGTGCTTCCTCTTGATGACCTGATGGATGCACTTCCAAGAGAGTGCTAAAGCAATACATTAAGTAATATCTATATAAACTAGCCCAAAAACTATTCTCAAGTTAATTTACTTTTTCCAGGCTCTGAGGGAACAAAACTCTTCAGAAGAGATGATTTCCCTCCCATACAGTGTTTTCTGGGATATAAAAAAGTAGCTGTTTCTCACAATCTTGAACTGAGGGTATGGACATAATTTTGGAAGAAGCCATGCTGGTTTATTCAGTAGTTTGCCTAGCGATTGTCCGCTGTTTGTCCTATTTCTACTTCATGCAGCAACAAAGCCAGCGTATTTTGCTTGATGCCACAATTGATTTGAGCTGCCAAACCGAAAAGCTTTTTAGCAGTTTCAGATCTGTCAGTCTTTTGTGATGACAGTACTAGAGATTGCTATTCCACCTTGCACTTTATGTGGGGTTTGAAGGGGAGGGCACTTTGGAACATTAATTGCAGTCATGCATTGGGCTGCTTTGAAGCACGATGACAGGCTGGGGCAGATACAGACACACCATCAGAATGAAAAATGGTTACTTTTCTTGGAAGGCCTCTTCTCCATCTGTCTTCTGCTAGTGGGAGACAGTGTAAGCTTGTAAGTAGCTACATAAGAGGAAATAGAAGAAATTTCTTCTTCTAAAGACAAAAGCAACACAAACCAATACTCCTTCATTTTTCCTATAAAATTGATTTTAGAAAGAATCAGTATTTCCAATTCCCCTGCAAAGGAAATAAGGTGACTTAGCAGGATGAAAAAGGGAAGAAGAAAAAGCTTAAATACTTTGAAAGCAATTAAACTCTCTACACTTGTAGAAGTTGGGTGTAACCTGAATGATTCATGTTCAGATTTAGACAAATGATCCATAGCCCCATTTTTTCTGCTGTCATAATACGTAAGCACACTGCCATGGCAGCTCAGAACCGTCTCATCCTTTTTCTTCCTGTGTTATTTTTACAACTGCTTTTCAAAGCACTGCACTTCAGCAACTGATTCTCATAGCTATATCCTCCTATAAATCACTGGGGAAGTGTCTCAGAGTAGCTCACAAAGTTGCTGCAAGAAGAAGATGCTCTGTCCTTGGACATCCTCGCAAGGTTTAGATAGGCACAGTTACTCAAGACACAGCTATTTGAGTATTGAATTGCAGTATGCGCATCCAAATCAATGTGGTGCTCATTTAAGGTAGCTGGTGATAAAGATATTCACTTCATTTTAATCTTGTGCTATATCCAGAATAGCACAACATCTATGGAACAGAAATAGCTGGGTGCCTGATTCCTTTGCTTAGACACAGTCACGCTACGAATGCAACTAAAAGAGAGAAGCCAGTGACAAGAAAAGATACAATTTAACATAGAAAATTGCACAGACAACTTAATCTACCCTGAATATCACCTTCAAGTGCATCTTATTACAAAAGAAAAGGGGGTTACCAGCTCTGTTTAAACATTGCAATGAAAGGTACATCTATATTAAGTAGTGTGGGTAATTACAAGCCTGCTTTTTACGTCTGTGCTCTGGGGCAATAACCTCAATTCATACACCTGTTGGCAGAACAGAGGCACATCAAGCTAATACATCTTTTGCTTTTGCAGAAGGCATTTGCAGCTTGACTTCCTAAACTATAGCAATGTATTTGGCACCTTGATAATAAACTGTAAGTTTCGCCTCCACTTGGGCAGCTGGCAAGATGAGCCTTTTTGCCTGTAATATGGAGCTTGTTTATATTGTTGTGTCTTTTGAGTGGTGAAGAGTTCAGGATCCTACGTTTTAGGGTCATAGCCTCAGCTGGAATAAACCAATATATCCACACCACATTTCTAAACTTGCACAGAATATAAAGGAAATACTGTGGGAAAAGGCCAATGTGAAAGATGAGAAAACACCTCATTCCTCTTCATCGCATGGAGATACTCACATTAGACATCCAATAGAAAAGAAGCTTAAAGAAAATCAGTGCTTACCTGGGTGAACCTCAGCGAAGGGTTAGCTGGCAAAGGTCTTTCAGGCACAGCGTGGTGACACGGTGGCTGGGGAAGGGGTGGTAGGACTCGCTGAGGTGTTTTTAATGGTGGCAAATCATGTGTCTTCACAGGGTTACTAATGTCAATGATCTGATATGGCAGCGGTCTTCTTGGACCATCTCTCTATAAAAAAAGCACCAACCAAACGCTGTAAACTTCAAACATAAGCATTGCTGCTTTCAAATCTGTTATTCCCTTTTCTCTTCTGTTCTGCTTTCATCTACATTCAAAACCTCTGCAACCAGAGATGCAACTAACAGCTTCCAGAGTCCTACTGAAGCACTAATCCTTCACCCTTCGGATGTAGTGTTCTGCTGTAAGATGTCTGGCTCTATCCTGGAGACTAAACTATCCTTTTCTGCACTTGATATTTCCAACTGTCTAAAGCTTGGAAGCCATAAAGGTATTCTGAAACCTATATCTTCTTTCACTTTACATACTGTTAGTTCTATGTGTCATTAAGATCATGTCATAATTGTGTTATGTTACTTAAATGAGATCCTATATATATAAATACAATTATAGATAGATTTTCTTTTTAAAAATCACTATTTAGAGACTCACTTTTTGCATGTTTGTATTTTGTGGCTTCCTGATGAGATTTTTACTGAGAGATGTGGTAGGAACATGATGATTAGGCTCAGATGAACTGGAAGGTCTTGCTGGACTCACAGACCTGTAACACAAGCATTTATTTATAGAACACAACATTCTGCTTTATCACATTTCTTTTAATCTGGAGCCTCTTTTCAGAAGGAGATTTTTTGCAAGGAGTTCCTGACTTTTTACAGTAAACAAGGAAAGCAAAAATTGTCAAGTGCTCCTGCAAGAATAAACATAAATATTGATTTTTCAGAAACCAGTAGTCTGTTAAATTAGCTTCTGCAATCTGTGGAAATACAGCTTTGTAACACCCAAGAGACCATTCTAATGAATCTAGCATTTAAACAGTAATGACCTCGAATATGGAAGTTTCAGCTCACTCGACTGAGTTTAGATAAAAGGCCACGCGGTGTAATGAAACTATTTCACGCAAATGGAAATGAAGGCAATGCTTCCTTCACTTCTTCATTTTTTATCACAAAATAAAAGAGATATGTGGCCAAACCAAAACCTACATTCTTTACTGACATCAATAAAGTTAAACTAAACCAGGAAAAACACTGCTGTTAACACTTGGTGAATACTGTTGTTAAGGTTGGCTCTAACATGTTCACACTGTTCCATGATGAATGTCAAAATGAGAGCACCCATGGTTACAGCTACATTTGACTAACATCTATTAGAGTGTAATTAGGGGAAATGACCATACCTTAGTTTCTCTATTGTTGTCTTTTTACTTGTAAACAACCATCTCATGAAAGTCTTCCTTTTGACATACATGATTGCTCCAGCAAAGATAAGGCACAGAATGGTTATCAGCACTCCTATGGTTAAACTCTTATTATCTGCAAAAAACCACATGGAGTTAACTTCTATCAAGAGCCATCTTCACTGAAACGTGTTGCATACAGGGGGCAGGACATTGCTGCCTGGCCTGAGTTTCTAACTGCAATGCAGGTGAAGTGAATAAACTATGAATTAAAGACTAATAAACTCTGATGTCTTCTAGAGTGATGCTTGAATTTTGGCCTGTTTTAAAGTTACTTCTTTCACAATGGGGAAAAATTGGTTAACATATAATATTGTAGGTTCCTTCCACACTAACTATTCTGTTCTAGTCAGATGTTCACCCAAGTGTGAACATCTCCATGTCTTCTCTCTGCGTCTATGCTAAGGTCCTGCTTAGGTTGTCACCTGCAAATGAGGCCATAAGGAGTGCAGGCTGTTAACCACATCCAGACACCCATAGGATGATGGCTGTAGCAATGCCGGCTAGTGCCTTCTTCGTGGGTTGTCTGCTGCCAGAATGGGAGGGAGACAAGCTGAGAAGGAGCATAAAAGGACAGAAATCCCTAGACTGTGATTTGGTTAAGTGCAGGCTTTCACATATTCTGTCCTTAAACACAGGCAGTAACGGCAGCTCTGTTATAAACAGATTTGAAGGGCTCTATTCTGCTTTAATACCAGGCAAGAAGTCTGAAATCTGAACTACTGTGGTCCAGCCCAGACGGCTATTAAGCTGAATCTGGAGGAAAGCCTTCAGCAGCAGTGTTGTGTGCTCACAGAGGGATGCTCTGCTTAGTGAGAGGCTGCAGACTTCTGTACTTGTTCCAGCTTTCAGAGTGCTTAAAGCTGCTTTAAGTACCTTGCTGGGACCTAAGTGAGGCACAATAGTGAGATGAACCCTGACTAGATGACTTGCAGCTGAAATAAAGCCTTATTTTTAGGAAGAAGCAAGCAGCAGCTCTGATCATTATGGCTATGTGATAGGATCACTGCCTGGAGGAGAGGATGTGATTCTTCAGGACTGCTGACCTAAAAAATACACACTTCCACAGTAGGAGAAACATCTTTAATCTTTGCTCTCGTAACCCATCATCACTGTCTCAGTCTTATCCTGGTTGATTTTCAGCTAACTGGCTCTCAGCTACTTGCCTTAGCTCACTCGGATGCTGGTGAACAGTCAGCAACACCGACTGAACAAACTACACATGGGGGGTGATGGGGCATGGAGTGCCACACTTTTACCTTCTAGCACTGCAGAATAATAACTCCCTCTCCATCTCTAAAAGATTAATAACATTAATAGGCTATGATTATGCAATTTAAATTAATTAACTTCTCTACCTATTAAATATTTAGGCTGCTTTGTAAGAAATACAGTGTCAAACACAAAGGTTTATTCTAAGTCAGCTGGGTAAAGTCCAAGTGTCAGCTATAGAAAACTGTGCCCTCTAGGAATCACAGAATCCCAGCCTGCTAGGGACCTTAAAGCTCACCCAGCCCCAAGCCCTGCCACAGGCAGGGACCCCTTCCACTAGAGCAGCTTGCTCCAAGCCCCTTTATCCAACCTGGCCTTGAGCACTGCCAGGGATGGGGCAGCCACAGCTTCTCCGGGCACCCTGTGCCAGCGCCTCAGGACCCTCACAGGGAAGAGCTTCTGCCTAAGAGCTCAGCTCAGTCTCCCCTCGGGCGGGTTCAAGCCATTCCCCTTGCCTTGTCCCTACAGGCCCTTGTCCCAAGCCCCTCTCCAGCTTTCCTGCAGCTCCTTTAGGCACTGGAGCTGCTCTAAGGTCTCCCCTTCAGGAGCCTTCTCTTCTCCAGGCTGCCCCAGCCCAGCTCTCTCAGCCTGGCTCCAGAGCAGAGCTGCTCCAGCCCTTGCAGCATCTCCATATTTATATATTCCCAGTATTCCCAGTATTATTGAACTGTCATTAGAGAGACATGGTGAAACTACCCCACTGTATTAAACTACTGTTAAAACAATTTTCTGTTAAATTGAAATGTTTGCTTCCAAAACACAAAACATGAGAATTATCAAAGATGTCTTATATTTGTCTTCTCCAGTTAGCATTGTCTATGCAGTACATCATTATAATACATATTGTAGCTCCCCAGGTACTCAGCTTCCAGGTAATCTGGAAAAGGACTATAATGCTTTAGAGCAAATCTCAAAAGAAAACATGAACACGCCCATAATCTCACTTGTTCAGTGCAGGAGCACGGTTTCTTTGCTATCCTACTGGTGGGTAGGTATTTAAAAGGATTTTTCACCAGTGAAATTATACTGTGAAGCTTTGTCATGGAAATGGCCCTGATGTCATAAATCCAGAATTACAATTCATGGCAGGATTTGGCATGTAGAGAATACAATCCATTTTGGGTTTGAATAGTATTATTCTTACGAAAAGGTGCAGATCATTTTCCAGCAAGTTTTTAGTTTATAGATGTGTATGTGAGTAGACTGCTTGTCCTCTCACGTACTCAGACATAAATCAGGAATATCTCCATGGAAGTCACTGAAGTTACAGTACTCTGGAGAAAAATTGGCATGTGATGATTATCAAATCCTATAACATTCACAATGTGTAGAATCTAGTTCTTTCGGAGGTTGGCCAAAGGTGAAGTAAGATACTAGAGCCAATGCTCTGCAGACTGAACAAGGGGAAATTGAAATGCAAGTTATAGACAATGTACATCTCCTACTACTGTCATATCTGAGGGCAACTTCTGCTAAATGTGTGGAATCTATCTATAAAATGTAGTTTTAATCTGACACACTCAGAAATCTGCTATTTCCCACAATACAAAAGATCCTCCTTGGAAGAACAATATAAAATAGATTTCTGATTGTTGATTATGCAATAAATTTGCATGTATAATCATTGCAACATCCACTCTTCATTAGGCACACAACTATAGGAATAGGTTGTGTGTACAATAAGGTATTTCTATCCTGATGCACTCAGTGGAGAACACTGGAGCTTGGTGTATCTCAAGGTGAATCCAAGAGCACTGTAATGTTCATCCGCCATTGCAATAGGATTATATCAAGTGTAGGAGTTAGCTCCTCACCCTCAGCTTAAATCAATACCATTTCCTACTTATTACAGTCAACTACTGAACTTGACCATGTATCTTGGGGGGGAAAAAAAGGGCAAAGAAAGGCAAAGAAAGGCAAACAAGGACAAAAAAAGGCAAAGAAGAAAAGCAACAGAAAGGCAAAGAAAGACAAGAAAACACAAGGAAAGGCAAGGAAAGGCAAGGAAAGGCAAGGAAAGGCAAGGAAAGAAAGGCAAAGAGAAAAGAACTTGCCAGGATCACTGTGCCTTTTGTTATGCAAGAAAATTGATGCACTCTGCCTTGGTTTTGCTACACTAAATTTTCAAGCTGGTGCCAATGTGTTTGAATTAAGCCATTTGATTTACTGCCGTATATCCCAATCTTGCAAGCTCATCACTTACAAGACAACACTTTGTATTTCCACTCTTTATCATGGAAACAACAAGTAAAGCATGAATTACTACTGACCTGCTTGCCTAATGGGTCCACTGTCCACGCTGCCACCAAACCCCGGCTTGTCACAGAAAGGGGGGGCCCAGTCAGCCTCGCAGTGACAGTTCTTTTTGTTGTTGCAGACCTGCAAAGCAAGACAGATGGCTTAACATGCGTCTGAGAGCAGCACTGGCTGACAGGGCCTCCTGATCAGGCAGTGACACTTCTGAAAGAAGTAAAGCTTACAGAAGAAAAGAGGTGTTCTGGTGTTTGCTTATTAACGCAACCAAGATGGCAGAGAGCAACTCCGCACACTGTGGAGTAAGGGATTCTAAAAAAGCATTATTATTTATTATTTATTCATTAGGGACTGTAGTGACAGGACAAGGGGTAATGGGTTAAAGCTTAAACAGGGGAAGTTTAGATTGGATATAAGGAAGAAGTTCTTTACTGTTAGGGTGGTGAGGCACTGGAATGGGTTGCCCAGGGAAGTTGTGAATGCTCCATCCCTGGCAGTGTTCAAGGCCAGGCTGGATGAGGCCTTGGGTGCCATGGTTTAGTGTGAGGTGTCGCTGCCCATGGCAGGGGGGTTGGAACTGGATGATCTTAAGGTCCTTTCCAACCCTAACTGTTCTATGATTCTATTTGGCAGGCAATTCGCATTGCACCAGCTGACAACTTCAGTAATATAAGGATAATGACACACCTCTTAAGTCTTATTCTCTCTCTTTGCCCCCAGCAGCAGCACTATCTGCTGTCTAACTTCTGTTCCTTCTGCCTTCACAGGAACAAGAGTCTCTCTCTGCTAAGGCTGTAAAGCTTTGTAAGCCCACTTGAACATTCCTGTACATCAAGGGCTTGCTCTAGGTTGCAGAGTAATTTTTCCACTGCTTGGATCCCTGGCTTAAGGATGTTCTTCCAGTTGCTGGAAGACCATGTGAAACTGGAATCAAGGCTGAGGAAACCCTCCCTTTCATACCACACCTGCGGTGTCTATAATGAAACAGCCCTCAGTGTTCTGGTGGGTTTAATCAGAGTAAAGGAACAACTAGCAAGACCTGATTTACTAAATGCTCCCTGCTGAACAAGATAGCTCCAAAGGACTGGAGTCAGTCACTAACATCAGCCTGTTCCTTCTGCATGGAGCAAAAGGAGCTGGAAGACTCATGGCTTTTCCCTCAGGAGGTCCCACAGTTCAAAACACCCATCAAAACCAGGGCTACTTTTTATTTCTACCACCCAAATAACGGCTATGACTTATAATGAAGCTAAAGCTCCATGTTGTATTGACAGCACACATGAACTGAATGCATCCAAAAGTTTTGCTGCACAGCATAGAGAAGGCACAGTCACATGTAGGTGCTCAAATTGATCTTTAAATAAAGTTCTGGGGCTTAGGGCTTGTTGTCAATATGGTCCTTCATTCTGGCCTAACACTGACCATCACTGGTCCACCAGCACCATGGAGAAACCACACAATAGATTAATAAATGGGTTTCTCAGTAAGACACTGGTTAGTTCACAGGAGTTTGAAAATACGCATTTTTCTGGCAAGGTCAGCTGGCAGGCTTTCAGAGAGGCTACACTGCTTGTGTCTGCAGAGTATTAAAGTACCATTCACATAGCTTAGACCAGCTATGGTCACGGAAAATGAAAAACAGAGATTTACTTTATAAAGACAGCAAGATAATGAAAAATATGATTTGTTAAGCATTATCTTTAAAATTAAAGCACTACAGGAGTTCCCATCTACAATTCCACAAGGTCATTTTTTGCTACTCAGGAGTCACCGGAGGTTCTCCATTGTAATGACACAAAGATGCCAGTCTAAGCTGATGCTCATTCCAGCACGATAACATGCAGCATCATCAACAGTGCTCAGTTTTTCCGCTGAGGGATGATAAAATAACAGGTATCAAAGATGTTCTATATTAAAATTAATAGTCAAATTAAAATCCCTTCTCAGGAGAGGGCAGGGAATTTCCTATGGCTCTTGCAATGTGGGTGCCACAGCTTTTCACAGAAACAAAAAGATCATCAGCAAATCCTTGTTAATAAGACATAGCTTGTCATAGTTAACATTTTCATGATATAAACTAGGTTTGAAAACACTTTGATATTCTTAACTGATATCATCAAGTTTTCCATCCTGCATCACTTTCATATGATGAAATTCATCAATATGGTTTTTGCAACCTGGTTTAGTGGAAGGTGTCCCTACCTGTGGCAAAGGGTTGGAATTGGATGAGGATTATGGTCCCTTCCAACCCAAATCATTCCATGATTCTACTTTATTTTAATACTTTTGGAAATGCTTTTCCCTTTGACTCTCAATCCAAATGCATATGTTAATTTTTCTGTATCCACATAGAAACTGGATTAAAAAATTATCATTTTTTTTCAATGTTAATGGGACTTCTTAATGAAGGAACTTTAGACTTAAAATTGCTATTTATGACAGATTATTAATTAAGAACAAGACAATGACTTACTGATAAATAAATTCTTTTTAAAATAAAAATCATTTCATTGCTTGCATTTTCTATAAGGGACACTGAAACTAGAAATATGATAAAAAAAGTACTGCAGTGACTTTGATATATTACAATCAATCATAGACCCCAAAGCTATTACACAAAATGATTTCTTGTCCAGTGTTTATTGACTGATTGTAAAAAAAGTGTTCCTATAAGGCTTACTCCACGTCCATGGCACTTTGTTGCACATTTATGTACACCAAAAACGCTTGTATTCTGGCACCGGCGATTAAGGCAAATCTGCAAGAGAAGAGAAAAGAAGTTTTAATAGGGATAGAACTGCTGGTGCTCACAAAGCATCATGTCCCTCTCTGTATATCTGCTCATCCATCAATAGTTCTTTCAGAAGCTAAAGATTTCCCAATACACATGCTGCATTGACAATGTTATATTGACAAAAAGATAAGGACACCAGAATTAGGTGTCGTCTCCTTTTAGGTCCAAATCTGCAGAAGCTGAATCCTGCTCTCCATGGGCATCCAGGCTAATACTGGATTTCAGATGTAGTTCATATTTGGTGGACATGCTGAGCTTGTGTAAATAAACACTCACAGCTTCACTGAAGTGGAACTCGTGGTGAGCTGCTGGGGTTTGGGGATTTTCAAAGCCAATTAAAAACCCCAGTAATTTGCATTTTTTCAGGGCTAGGAATGCATTGAGCAGGCTTCCTCCATGGACCTCATCTGGCTGCATCCATGTCTTGACAGGAGCAGATGATACCTCCAGATTTCGGACTTGATAAAGGTCTTTTCCAACCTACTTGATTCCATGATTTAAGGAAAGTTTTAGGTCCCTTCATGGTGTAAATTAGCACAGTTCTGTTCATAGCAATAGTGCGGTACTTTTTCATGCTAGTACAGAACCTGGACCCAGGACAGCCCAAATATTCAGCTGAGGTCACTGATATACATGGGTTCATCATTGTTTTTCAGCAAAACAGAGACTTTCTTACGATTTTTTTTGGTGTTAATTATACACCAGCCATATTTAAAGTGCAACAATAATCTTATAGGAAACTAAAAAAAATAAGACACGCAAAGTAATGAAATTAGTTTTGTTTTCCAGTTATTAGGAGTAAACTTTACTCTGCCAACAAAGCTGAAAATTGAGTTAAAGAAAGATCAGTACCATCTCATAACACCATCAAGTAATCAAATGAGTGATGAAGATGCCAGCAATGAGATGGTACCCTACACAAAACTGAAAAAAGAAGAAATTAAGTCTGGAGTAACTGTTACCAGGCTATGCTGACCTCTCCCCAAAAAAGGGGGAAAAAAGGCATTGCACAGTTTTGCTCATGTTTAAATGCAGTTCAATTCAGCAGTACTAAAAGTCAGCCACAATAATTAGCATTAAGCAGGGAATAGTGTTGAAGGAGACGACAGGGAAGCTTAATCAGGGCACTTATCCCCTGGGGAGAAGAAAAAATGGAAAGGAAATTAGAGTGAATTGGCATCAACATGCATGCATGTAGAGAATATGGTCTGATTACAGCAGCATTCTCAATTCAAATATTCACAGTGCAGTAGCACACAGAATTTTGATCACATTAAAATGGCTGCATTTCAAATTGGGTATCTTCAGCTCAGAAAACTCAAGAATATTTAAATTCATATTCTTAATCCGTAATACAAATGCACTAATGTCCTCCAAGTAAAACATACAATTTCAGAAGTATTAGCCTGTGTATTCTATAGTGTGTATGTGTATGATTAGATAGATTAGAAAGATTAAATACTCATTAGTAAAACATAATCGGGTGCTTTCCCAGCACTGAGTTTCCTTTGAAAAGACATTTTAGAACAGATTGACTTAGAAATGTTGTGAGGGTTGTTTCCCTGTAACAGAACTGTAGTTTCACTAGGGATGTAGTTTAAAACTGTTCCCAGTGCACTGTGATAATCCAGTGCAATTCAAAAGCATTCAGAAGTTCAAAGGCTCACTTGAATTTGCCACAAATTATCAAAGCAATTTTTCTTTCTTTCTACAAGTTATCCACTGAGGGTATGGAAGCCTTCTTCATTTCAACAGTTCTTGGGCTCCTTTCCATTCCTCCCTCCCTATAAACTCATGGCTGTCTCCCATCTTTCTCAGTTTCTTTTCTCACAAAAGAGAGGCTAGGAATGAGCCATATGAAATTTGGATTATATTCACATTAGAAAATTCACAAAGTCTGTAAAATGTGATTGCAAAAATCACCATTGGTGGCTGAACATCAATGGGTTTATCTTTTTTTCTAATAGCGCATACAGAGATAGCTTTTCCTGCAAGAAACTACGAGGGGGGAGAGCCAGAATCATCAGATATAACACATTTTGAGACCTAAAGTGAAGTTAATGTCAATTTTTGTAATGCCATAGACTGGAAAATGAATACATTGAACTCCTCAGAAATTCATTAACAAGCCTGCACTGTTTTGCTGTACTTGTTTTACAGAAAGCCTTTAGCCTACTTGGGCAGGTACTTGGGACTGTCTTCGAAAAGACAGTTTTAAACTTAAGCAACTTGTATTGCAACTGCAAATCTATAATCCAGAACAGTGGGCAGGAGAAAGTAAAATACTGAGTCAGTGTGAGAATGAGCAATTCTTTTGCGGAAAGAAAGAAAGAAAGAAAATCCCAAAGCAAAACCCAGTTGGTTTAGTACAAAGAGCTTGGCAACATCAGGTAGTGATGCTGTCCTGGCTTGGAGTACTTCAGAATCTTACTTTTCCATCTTCACACTTGGTTCCTGAAAGCACAAGAGCAGGATCGGGCATATCATCACCCAAATAAACGTGGGTACCACGACACAGAATCTTGCCACCTTCCTGAAGTGGGATATTAGTTTCTATGGAAACAGCATTGGTACCGATTACAGGTCGATTTGCTCCTCCTTGACACTGGATTTTTCCACATTTAGCATCTCTGAAGGAGATAAAAGGAACCAAAGATTAGTTAAAGAATTTTAAATGTTATATCCCTTTCCCACCACCCTGGAATCTGTTCCCATGTTTGTAGGGAGAGACCATACCTGGGTTCACATTTAGCAAAGGAGCTCTTGGAATCTTTGCCACAGTTGCCATAAGGATCACCAGCAGAATTGACTCTCTCAAAGCAGATCCCAGGAGCAGGTTTTGCACCTGAAACAAAACCTAATCAGAACTTTCATCTCATAGAAGGGGTTGTTAATAATTTTGTTTGAGCTCCACTGATGCTTTTGGGAAAGGTGGGGTGTGATCTGCATGTTGATGAAGCACAACAAAACAGTTGTGCTGGATCAGCATGCTAATTGAAGAGCCTGAATGTGTGGGTTTTCCACTGTTGTTTGTCTCTCTTGGCAATGCTGAGCAACAGAAAATGCAGAACTCTTTCAGAATCTCTCCAGATAACATCCCTCCTGTGAACCCTGCTAGGACACAAAAGCTTTTAGCAAATGCCAAATCTGGTTTGGTGAAGAAAGACACAGGCCATCTGGTGCGCTAACTCCCTTCTTTTTACAGCAGTCCATGTGGTTCTAGTGAGACCCACAAGAGCCGAAGCCAAAGGACATACTTCTCGAGAAAAGTCTTTTACAGTGCAATTCAGAACAACAGGAAACCCCCCAAAAAATCCAGTTGCAATCTGGAGTGTTATGTGTCTCTATAAACATGACCACATTACATGGCAAAGAGCATAAGATGCTGTTAGCTCAAGCTGGGGAGAGGAAGGGAAACCATCCCCACCAGTAAATCCACTCCTGAAAGGCTGACTTGAAAGAAGGGTTGTTTCTACCATGGTGATACAATTAGGAATCTGGGAAGACAGGCAGCATCTGGTTGTTATCTACTGTATTCTTTTATGATGGAGACATACCCTAATGGCAAAGGAACTTCCCCAGTGGGAGTATACTGGAAATGTTTGTGCAGACAGATTACTCATCCCTGCATTATAGAAGTCAAAAGGTACTGTTAGAACATCTATTTTAATGTCTTATACAGACAATCTCCTGTCCATTTTTTCCCAGATTGTGACCAACAATTTAATATCTTCTAGGGGAAGATACATGCATTCATCTGAAATGTTTAAGAGGTATAGGATTTACTTCCCCAACTGCAACAATTCATTAGTCCATGTATTAGAATTTAATCCCTTTGTTCTATTGCAAAGTGTGGTTTTTATTTCTAGCCAATAATTACTGTTCCTTGCAAGATTAAGAGGCCCTTTGCTAGGGCCCTTTACTACCCCATATTTTCTTTCCATGAAGATTACAAATAGCACAATCAATTAAATCATTGCCATTACTTCAACTACTCCAATAGGCAGACTTGCTTTGAGGACCCAGGATGGTAAGGAGATACGTGGAATAAAACTCTGAACAGATACTTGCTAGATTCAGTTTTGTACTTTTGATAAATCAGCCAAACTAGACCAAAAAGAACTGGCAGCAAAAGATGTGATAGCCTTAAGGCTGAGAATATACCATTTCTACAGTGTTCTCTGTTCCCTGATCTTTATCAGAGCCAGAATATCTGAGTTAATGTTACATTTTTCTGAATGCATGAAGCCACTTCCAAGACTGCATGGCTCTGACTGAGGGTAAAACACATCATTTATTTAAACCATCCTGAAGATTTCATTTGGAAGCCTTCAAAAAGTAAGGGTTTTTTAAAATGGATTCAAATTCCTGGAGAAGAAAACACAAATATGATTGTAAAACTCCCAGATAGTTTGGATCTTTTCACTAATAACTCTGAGATTAAAGCCTCAATTAATTATCTGTATTTCACAGTCAGAAGCTTGACTAATGCTATATACTGCTGAACAGCAATCTAATGCTATTAAGGACAAAATATTACAACATGAAGAGGCTTAAGATGGCACTCTCTTCCCCTTCTAACAGTTTTACACACTGAAACTGGAAAACTCAGAAAGGCAGGCACAGAAGGAACAGAATATGAGCTGTTGGTTCCCTGGAGAGCAGGACAAGAGCTTGAAATTCTTTGGTAGATTACGATCGAGCTTGCCGAGCTCAGAATATTTCTCAAATCTGGAACTATTAAAAGGGACTCACACAGGATTCTTTCACTTCTTTTCATTAAACCACAAGCCATAATCAAAAAAATCAACCAAAGCATCCAGACAAGACACAGTGCAAAAAGCAAAAGTAAAATTTCCATTATCAGCATGTTGATTCCTCCTCATCTTTCCAGGGCAGGCACATTAACTATTCAGTTTGAGACAAACATTAACATGTGCATATACTGTGACAGCTTTAAAAGGGAAGGAAAGAAAAAACATGCTGTAAGCAAGAGGACAAGTAAAATTGCTTTTTCTCCCACATCTGTCTTGCTTAGACCTACCTAGTCAAAGGAATAAGCCCCCCTCATCTACCATGATCATACATAATTGCTATGGGTCTCGTTTTTACTTAGTTGGGAGCCTTGTGCCCCAGCTAGTTCAGCCCATGGCATATCATTGCAATGACTGGAGGCTTCCTTGGAGATGTGGCAGCAGCATCCCAAAGCACAGACATGCTTTCCCCTGAGCATTGTGTGGCTCTGAAAGCTGCCAAGAGCAAAATGAATGCTCATGTCCTGTGCCAAAGACTCGTTTAAGAAACAGTGTTAAAAAGAGAAAGGGCTCAGTGAAATATTAAGAGAGTTGAAGGTATTTATCTTCCTCTTTCACCCGATGAAACTTTTTTGTTTGGTTGTTTTTTTTATGAAGTCAAGTGCTCTACGCATGATGGAAAGCAGCCTGCAGGAAGAACACATCTGCAGCATCCTTGCAGCACTCAGACAGTGAGTTTTAACTCCAACCAATAACACTTGACAAGAAAAAAGATCTCATGGAGTACAAAAAAATGCTCCCCTGCCAGCTCGGAGCAGTTTGTATGAAAACACCTGGTACCCAATGATCATCTGCAGCTTGGAAACCATCATCTAGCTTCAATTCCTGTCTTTGGTATCAAACCAAAGCACATTGCTGCTTGGGAGTCAGATGGCTGTTCCCTCTCCTGACTGGTTTCTCTCAATATTTGAACTATTTTACAGATGAAAACATAGCAGAGTGTAAGAAGCTGAACAGATGGAGCTACCAAGGTAAAAGGAGGTTTTTCCAAGGATGCTTAAGGAAGAAAATTGTAATGTTGTGTTTCTGGAGGAAACCCATTTATCATGATTGCTCCATATTAACTGAAGCAGAAAGTCCTGTCTTTCTCTATTTTCCTACCTCCATAGGCAAAGGCAAAATGATTTGTGAAAGATTTCCAGTGGTTATTAAGTCCTTTGAGCTGGATGAACAGAGTTTATTTCACTTTGCTATTGACAATTATGGTATCGTGACCCTATAATTAAGGTCCTGTCAGCTTTTCCATGCCAAGCCTTATTCAAGGGATTAATTCAGCCGTTTGAAACTGCAGGAGGTCAAAGCTCACCACTGCAGTTGTCAGCCTGGAGACTTTTTTTCCTCCTTCAAATGTGTAAATTGATGAGCCCATTTCTTTCCCTCTATGGTTGCAAGAAAAGAGATGTTTTACACTTTTGGAAATGATACAGAAATGCTGTGTCATTGCAGATTAGTGCAAGACCTGCTGCAATGAGAAAACACTATCACGGGCTCCTGAAAGAGAAGAGAGGAATTTCTGACCATGGTGCTGATTCCAGGAACACTGAAACACCCGTTATCAGGCTGAGAGTGGAAAAGAAAGATATTGCAGCTCAGTTCGCAGCACTATCTCAACACTTAAAAGAATCATAGAGCTTTTATGGGTGTGGAGGGCAAAAAAACCCCAACCTCCTGAAGCTCTGTTGCTCAGGCTATGCCAATTAGCCCCATGAACAACTGTATAAATATAAGCATAAAAATGCAGTTCTCTGCCATGTGATTTGCACCTGGATTTTACATCTCATGCAGTTCATTTTACTGCACTTAATGGTGCAAAGCAAACTTTCCATAAGCTCCCCATGGCCTCTCTGTTCATCCAGGTGATCCCTGTTGTTATGTGTGTGTAAGAATGAGGTGGGGTTGAGCTGTTATACTTTGCATTTAAGGATTATGCTAGTTCTGACTACCTCTGAGAATATGAATGCCTTTCACATCTCCAAAAGACAAGAACCTGGCCATAAATATGTGATGATCAGAATACTTTGATTTTACTGATTTGAAATCTTCACGGGTAAATCAGAGTTTTTTCAAAAACCAGTTAGTAATGGCTTGGTCAGCTAACTTAGAGGGGAAGCCCACCCCAGTGGCAGACCTTTGTAACAAGTACTGACATTAAAATTAAGATCATTGCTGCTTAAACAAATGGCCATACCTATGCAACAAATTCAAGTATGTCCTAATTATTATGTCAATGGCTGCAAATGGTTCCTCAAAGTCACTGGTTTTTATCTTCTTGGGGAAATACAGGGAAACACACTGACAGACATCTCCTTTCCTTCCCTCAGGAGTCATTTTCCTGTCAATGGAGAAAATGACATGAGTCTAAAGATGAGAATCTTCTAATCTTTGGTAATCAATAATTTCTCTCTCTTAAGTTACTTTATCTGTGTATCTTGTTGCTCCCAGAAAATGCCAATGGAATCCCAGACATTACATAAACGTGCATTGATTGTAGTCCAACTATTATCAATAGGTCAGATCAGTGCAAATTGGTATTTCTGAATACGAAACAAAGAAAGTCACAAGCAATTCATGCATGTTGCTCTTTAAGGATATGAATTAAGGTAAGAGAGAGAGAGATTTGTGAGTTCTGGGAGAAGACCTGAATGAATGTGGTCTTTAAGGAGAATTTGTGGTATGTTTGGAGATGGTCCCCAGGTGCTCCTGCCCTCTTTCACATGAAACTTTCCATGCTATTGCAGCTAGGGAATAACAAAACATATTCTATTTGATTTGAATTTATCTGTTGAAAGTAACAAAAAAACCCTCCAGGAGATGCAAGAACTTCTTTCTGGAAACAGGCTCCTATTGCTTATCCTGAAGTAAATAAGCTCTGACAGTGCTCATCATTCTCTTTAACTAGATCTAAAAATATGAAGATTGATGTTTATCATTGGGCTGTTGGACGTCTGTAGCCTGACAAATAAAGAAAGATATACAAAAGAAGATATTGATAAGGAATTTAATATACTGAATATTATTTTAAAAGAAGTTATTGTACTTTGTTCTGCATGGCTTTCTCCAGCTAGGAAGAAGAAAAAAAGGAATGAATGTAAATGATTGTGATGAGGTTTTTCTTTAAATATAGATTCTTTTTTCAAAACCCCCACACTTCTCAACTCCACACACACATTGTTAACAACAATTCTAATCAATTACAACAATATGTAAAAGGTTGAAATGTATCTTTTTTGATAGGAAGTCCAGAGACAACATCTTCAAACGTCAAGTCCCTCTTTCTTCTGCAAGCAAAGCTGGGAAGATAGGATAGGACAAGGAGTAATGGGTTAAAGCTTAAACAGGGGAAGTTTAGATTGGATACAAGGAAGAAGTCCTTTACTGTTAGGGTGGTGAGGCACTGGAATGGGTTGCCCAGGGAAGTTGTGAATGCTCCATCCCTGGCAGTGTTCAAGGCCAGGCTGGATGAGGCCTTGGGTGCCATGGTTTAGTGTGAGGTGGCAACCCCATGGCAGGGGGGTTGGAACTGAATGATCTTAAGATCCTTTCCAACCCTAACTATTCTATGATTATAAGATAGATTTTATACCTCTACCATGATATTTTTCCAACTGCATGGCTCAACTAGTCCCGTTCCTCTTCCACCCCACATCTACTTGTACTCCAACCAGATGAAGTGTGATCAAACAGCAGATATTAACATCCACTGTCTTTAAATCCAGACTAGAGGCCTTGTTTTTTGCTGGAATCCTATCTGCTACACTGTTTGAGGGTTTATTTTATTGGCATTATTTCCAATTTATGCTTCCAAAAATGTGATGAGAATTAGGCCTTTCAGTTCAGATTTGGTAATGTCCCATCTTCCCTTTCAAAATCTCTATCTTTGGGTATTCCCAAGACAAATAAGTGTATTCCAATTAAAGAGGTTTTGAACTCTGTTCTTAACAAACCCATCTTTCTCATAAGCAGACCTCTGTAGCCTCAACCACTGGAGACTCCACGCACAGCAATGCCCATGTTGAATAGTCCCAAAAAAGAAGACAAAAAAGAATTAGGGGAGCCCAAGGGGTTTGGAGGACTTGCTGCATTAGGAAACAGACCTGCCAAGGGAGTTGCAACAATTCAGCTCCCTGACCTTTAGCTGAATTTTTCTCAGCATCTGAAATCATTAGCAGCCTGACTGAGCATCTTTCCATGGCATGGGAAACTGGTTCATGAGGAGATTTTTGCTTTATACAAGAGAAAACATCACTGTATCCAGGGGATTAGAAATCCCAGTATGACTGACTGGAGGCTATAATTGTGCATGCCTATATGAGCTCATATTACCTCTGTGATGCGACAGGGATTCAGAGCAGTGTATCAGATGCATGTTTCGTTCCACATGAGGAGTTTGATTTTGAACTGGAACTCTTCTAAGAGGTTCTTAGACCCACATGACCAAGCTAACCTGTTATCTGCATCAGTGGCATTAATTCTTGACATGTTTTAATGCTTCTTTAAATAAACTTCAGTAGACTTCTGATGAGGGTTTTGACCAAGGGAAGCATCTGTGTGTCAGTATATTGATCCGTGGGTTTTGGCACAGAGTTAAAGGCAGACAGATACTGACTTGAAAGAGGCTAAGGGAGCTGAAAAAGTTAGTTTAAAAAAATAATTAAATCTATCTCTAAATAATGCTCCTCCTCAGGAGAAGTAAAAGTCGTTTTCCCATTTGAGAGCAGCGTGAGATGAAGGATGACTTATCCCCAGTGATGCAGGATGTGATAACAAAATGCAAGAATTAATACTCGTATTGCTAGATGATCTGAAGGTCCTTTCCAACCTTAACCATTCTATGATCTTATGATTCTATTTCAGTGGGAGGGCCACAGGAAAAGTGAACAGATTTCCTGGGATATCATCCATTTAGGCTAACCCAAGACCTCATGCTATCAGGGTTTTGCAAAAAGAAAGTGAATTACTATGGAGAATAAAATCTCTTTTTTCCTCAGTGCATAGTCTGCATACGCTAGCCAGGAGACAGGTTTACAGGTAACACCAATCAATAAAATACACACAATGATCCAACAATTGTATGTTAATATCAAATACTCAACTCTATTTTCGGATGTAGACAAACATATGTTTTGCAGATGAGCAATTTAGAGCACAGAAGGAAGCTTACACACCAGTCAGAGAAGGGATGTGATTTCAACCTGTCAAGACCATTCAGCACTTTGCAAGATGACATAAGGCCATATCAAAGTCAAAGTTAAATGATTTGTCTAAGTTCACCTTGCCATTTGCTGCAGTGCTGCAGAATGAACCTAGTTACTGTTGCTCTCCACCACCTGCTGCAAGAAATGAACATGACTGCAAATCAAGGATAAAATGATTCTCAAAATGATTCCCTCATTATTCAGTTCTGCCTTTCAGAGAAGAATAGATGCAGATTGGTACTGTATAAAACTCCTCCAAATCACAAGGGTTTTTTTTGTTCCCCAAGTCTATCTCATAAACCGATCTCCTGGTTCTCAGACTCACCTTGGCCCCAGAGTGTGATGCACTGCTGCTCATGGGTCTGGCATATGCCATTGTAGCAGTAGCCATCCACCCTTTGGCAAGCATGCCCATCGTGCAGGTACACGTTAGCTGGGCAGTGAGGGCTGGCTCCTGTGCAGAACTCTGGCAGGTCACAGGAATTACTTGACTCTCTGCAAGAAATCCCTGCTGGTTTTAACTGCAAAACAAAGAACAACTTTAACTGTTGTACTTCCAATCAATGAGAGCTATGCAGCAGTATAACCCATGCACCACATGAACAGCTTTTTGCATCGGCTTTGCACCAACTGACAGCAGAGGACAGTGTAAGGATTATGTAGCTCTTTAAAGACATTTATTTGACACGTGCTGTGAAGGGTTTGTCTGGAAGGAGGGCCGAACTGAACTTGCAGCTGCAAGCATGGCTCATATGGCTTGGGTTAGAAAGCAAACCCAGGGTTTTGTTCATTTTTTAATAGGAAGCGAAGTTTTCCGCATACCTCCTTCAATCACACGTGGGCACAGAAACATTTTGGGCTGTAGTGTCAAGAATGCTCTATAGCAAAAAAAGACCAGAAAAGTCAGAGCAGAAACATTTTCATGCCTGTGGTTGTAACAATGCTGCAGTGACCAGGGCAGCCAGCTGACCACGTAACATTGCATTACATCTTATGTTATGGCTCACAAGGATACCAGCCCATTTGACCCTGGATTCAGCTTCTGGGGATGGAGGTTCATTTCCTCATGGAAAAGTCACTCTCTCGTGGGTATCAAGATCATCTCCAACTTAATTATGCAACTAGTCCATGTAACTGTTCCTGTCCTGTCCTGACTTCCCTGGATAACGACATTATTTCAGAGCTGAAGTCAACCAGTAGGCAACGGTGGAATGTGCCAATCTGATCATTCACTGATCAACAACAACCACAAAAGATGGGTTTGCTCTGGGAGCAGCACTGAATTTTAACTGCATCACCCCAGTGCCTTTGGTTAAAAGGCAAAAAGACATAAAGACTGATTTTGCTAAAAAGTGTTTGCTGGCTGTTTTGATAGCTTGCTGCTACTGAGCTTTTAGGCAGATGGTTGCCACTGACACAATGGAAACATGCTGAATGCTTTATTAGCCCATATTCAAGAGATGGGCTGAGAATTCAAGAAGGTAAACACCTGCAACAAGTTAGCTTTTATAGTAAGTTAGGAGTCCATGATAGCCAATGATCTGCCATTAAAACTACATATGCTGTTGATAGAGTCAATATTTTAAGAGTCTTCTCCTAAAAAGTGACCAGCATTTACTGACTGCTCACCAAAGCACAACATGAAAAGCATGACAAGAAATCAAAGCATACAAAGTTCATGGAAAAGGGGAGGTTTTACATGAGCAGGTGAAGTGGCTACAATCAGCACAGACACCATTACAAGAGTCTGTCGATCTGCTCTTTCCATAACTGTTACAACTTGAGAAGTGTTCTGATTGCCTACAAGAAATGCGAGTGTCTTAATGCTTAATGATACCAATTCGATTGTTCTCCATCATTGCTTACTGCTCTGCAGTTGGGAAGATTATGGAATTCTACCCACCCCATATAGATAAGAAAGGTTTCTGCTGGTTCACCTGACAGTCTTCGCAGCAAAGTCCATGCGCACACACTGCTCCCGGTTTCAAAGTACAGGTAGTTGCATTACAGCACCGGTTTGTACATTCCTAGATGGAGGATAAATTTAGAGCAGACAACTTTGAGTCACAATGAGCTGTAAATCAAGAGGCTGCCTATAGCTCCGCCAAGAAAAACAAGGCATGAAATAATGAATTATGCATGAAAGTCTATAACTTGATCCAAACAGTCTTGTCTGTCCTTAGCTTCAACAAGCACAATAACTGTAGTAAAACCAGAGCAGCCATTGAGGAAGGCTGGTTTATTCTAGCTATGGATCTAATCCCAAATACCACAGACGACTCAAGTATGCTGATACCAATCCTGATACAGTGGTATGGTGTCTTATTTCTGTAAAATTGGTGGAATGATTCCATTGCCTCCAGTGAGGATTCAGGACCTGTGTTGCAGTTACTGAGCATCATGACTACAGCTCTCTGTTTTGTGATAGCTGCTCACCAGACTTCTGTATCATGTGGGGACTGGTAGCTGCCACAAAGAAAGATGATGACATGTAATGTCTTATCAGGGTATGTCAGTAATAGAGCTTTGAGAAATAAAATGAGTATGAATTGCACTCTCACTCACTGATACATCCCATTTCACACATACAGATTAGATGGTGGCATGTGTGGGCTTCTGCAAACTTTTTTCTCAGTGGAACAAGCTAGTAAGAAAATAATGGATTTGTTTTTCCAAGATTATGCTCACAAGCTGCAAGTTACATCAGCTGTGCTGGAATCTCATTTCTCCCTAACAAAAGTAGCAGCAGATAGAACTGCTCTTCAGCTGTGTTAACTCAGTTTGATTTAACAAGGGATCACTAACAATATAGGGAGCACAGGAGAAATAAGTGGGTTAGAATGATGTTCACACCCTCTTGTTACTTTATTGGCTTTTGCAAAGCTTTCCAACTAGATGAGAAGGCTACCACTGCACTCACAAATAAAGAGCAAACCGATTCTTAGCATTTCACTGTGTTCATAGATAACATCTGCCTGAATACACAAAGGTAACTGCACCGCTCTGAAGCAGTGGAACAACTTCCTGCACCTATTTTGGATCATGCCGGGAGGCAGCAGGCTATGCAAGTGTTTCTTTGCAGCTGCTGTGTTTAAGAAGCAACGCTCCTCTGCACATGAGCACAGTTTATGAGTTCACCTCAGTAGCAATCTGAGAGTGGAGGAAAGCAATGTCAGTCCAACTAATGTACTTCTGACACAGTCAGCCTCCATACCCCATCATCTAGCCATATACCAGCCAGCCAAGGAAAGCAATCAGCATTCCACAGGCGGACTGGGATAAAGACACAGCTCTTTGAATGATGTTGCAGCAGCCTCTAAAATTTCCAATAGCTCACTCACTTATTACCCATTGTAGGGAATGAGCTCAGTAAAAGGTTTTTTGTGCCTGGGCTATGAAATTGTCAGGAATGGTTTTAATATAAACAGGAAAGCAAACAAAAAGCTCAGAAGGCTTTTGCAGGCTGGAGGCTGCCACCCGAAAGTACTGCTGTGTTGTAGCTTATTACTATTAGTTAGTATTGATAACCAAAGCAATAATGGGAGTGGGTTTCTTAGTGTAGTTATCCTGGGCTCACTAGAGAATCTCACACATACTAACACAATGACAAAACTAGCATCACCTACACGATGCCATGTACAACTTGTTTTCACCCCCTCTTTTCTTAGAACACAAGACAGACCACATTGGGTCAGCCTATAGCCCTTCTAGCCTTGTGTCCCCAAGACCAGCCAGCAGAAGATCCTGAAGAACAAGAATATGAACACACATACATGATACCTTCCTAGTCTGGCACTCCTTGGCTCCACGGGCACTTTTAGCAACTGCAACATTCAGTGGAAAGGAACTGGAACACACTCTGGGGAGCAGATTCTTCTGCTTGTTTGAAACCTGCCATTTTCTACCTTCATGTGCACAGTTCTTGTTGGGATTCTGTGATTCCATTAGGAAGCAACAGAAACCATCTCTCCTTTCTCACTTTTTCCATTTCACTCATGCTTTTATCAGCTTCTATTGTGTTTTCCTTCATTTTCTTCCTTTTCAACCCTGAGCCCTTCCAAAACTTTCAACCACCTTATTGCTTTTCTTTCAGCCTTTTTCATTCTGCTTTATCCTTCCTGAGATCAGGGAGGGGTAGGTAAAAGCTGCACATTCACTTACAGACTCAGCATGGTGCAGATTTATAGAGGCCTACTGGTGCTTTGTTTTGTTTTCCTATTTCTTTCTCAGTAATTTCTAACAGCCTATTTACCTTTTAGACCACTCTTGAGCAGGGAGCTGACATTTTCATGAGACTATTTATTGCAATATGAAGTCTTGTTCCTCTATGGTCAGAGTCAGCTCAGAGTCCATCATCTTATATGTGATGTTTGGAATGTGCATCCCCCACGCTGAATCCCATTTGTCATCTTAATGCCCAGTCCAGCTGTCTCAGAAGGTTCTGCTGCAGCTCTTCACAGCCAGCTCTTGTCCCTACCATCCTAACTAACATCATCAGCAAATTCAAGACTATTCTTGCCAGGCTGTTGATGAATATGCTGAATTGTGTCGTCCCCATGACACATCTCATGGATACATCACAGCAAATCTTTCACTGCATGAAATGGATGCCTTATACCCAATTGTATTTCCTATCTTTTAACCCATTTTTTGCCCATGCAGTATTCTCTCATCCCACAGCTGCTGAGTCTCCTAAAGAGGCTTTGGTCTAAAGCCTCTCTGAACTCCTAACAGGCTGCACTAAGAGTGTCAGTCCTATCCATCCACTTGTTAAGTCCTTCAGAGCACTGTGCTAGGTTTGTAAGACAAGATTTCCTGGCACAAAAGCTGTATTGACTCATCCCTGGCATGTCACAGCTGTTCAGGCACTAGCTCTTAATTACATTTGGAAGTAATTTGTCTGACTTCTGATTTACCAATCTGTACTTTTCTGGTCCCCCTTGCAGCCCGTTATAAGATTATCCACATCTGTCACCTCTTACTTCTCAGGGACCATGGAATTATTTTTTTCTCTTTCTTCTATATTTCCATTAACCCTCCTTTCACAGACACTGTAGCACATCAGATGTTTTTTTGGTAATATGATCTAAAATTAAGTCGGATCTTAATTGGTAATATCATCCTGGGTTGGGTCTTACAATTCTGGTCTGGTGTTGGGCCTGCCACCATCATTATACTCAAGATGACAGCCAGTGGTTGATGAATATCAACCTGGACTGTAGTGACAAGACAAGGGGTAGCGGGTTAAAACTTAAACAGGGCAAGTTTAGGTTGGATATAAGGAGGAAATTCTTTCCTGTTAGGGTGGCGAGGCACTGGAATGGGCTGCCCAGGGAGGTTGTGAATGCTCCATCCCTGGCAGCGTTCAAGACCAGGTTGGATGAAGCCTTGGGTGCCATGGTTTAGTGTGAGGTGTCCCTGTCCATGGCAGGGGGGTTAGAACTTGCTGATCTCAAGGTCCTTTCCAACCCTAACTATTCTATGATTCCAATATGAGACCATAGTGTGGATATAGGTGTTCACACAGTCCCTACTGCATTAGCATTTCCCATGTCCCCTGAAGGGTGGGATGTATGCTACAGTCATGACCCTCCACCCTCATAAATCCGTTGCTGTCCTACTGATAAGGAGCACAGACCTCAATGCAAGGCTAATATTTTACTTAAAGGAGAACTACCCCATCAACCACCTACATCTACATATTCAGACTGATAGTTCACAGAGTCCTAGAATGGTTTCGGTTGGAAGGGACCTTAAGGCTCATCCAGTTCCAACCCCTGCCATGGGCAGGGACACCTTCCACTACAGCAGCTTGCTCCAAGCCCCTGTGTCCAACCTGTCCTTCACCTCCTCCTACTCTCAGAAGATGTTCTCTTCAACTTGCCATGGTCTTGCTCCACAGGACCACAGACATCTGTCCTCTTGCTATTTCTGGCTCTCAAGATAACCCTGGAAACTGTCACACCCTTTATGGCTCTGCTCAGCATCCTAGTTTTGTTTTTCCAAAGCCTGGGTTTGTTTCTGATCCCTCTACCATGACAGCCCTCACTGATGTTAAATGAGTTGCACGTAGCCACATCCAAACATCTCACTTCTGCCCTATTTTCTATTCTCTTCAACTCTGCCTGTCCAGTGTTTTATCCACACCTGGATGATGAATTCAAATTAAATATCATCAAGAGAGGAAAGTTCATATGCAGAGATCTCCTCCATTTAAATAAGCAGCGAAGCTCCCTTGACTGTACCATGGAGCCAGAGATTCTTTTATAGCTCCTTCCATGTCTCTCTCCCTTCCCTGCTTGTGATATTCTCACCCCAGTCACACCATGAGATTTGATACCATTTTTGAGGAGAAAATATTGTCAATTCTTCTGTTCTGATACAAGGTGTTTAATTCTGTTCACTGATAAAATACGACTAGCATGCCTTACTGTACAGCTTTCTACACCATCAAACATTGCAACACTACTGACAAAACTCAGCTAGTATAAATGACTGGGCACTGAATTATTAACAAATCTTATGGGGTTTCTGGTACCACTCAGAATATTGCAGTAAATTCCATATTAATTTTAATTGGGCTCAAGCTGCAGTTTCCCAATATAAGTAAAAAGGAAAAACATAGAAAGAAGAGGCAAAACAAGTCAGTGCTTGCTGATGTTAAGTGGCTTTGACTTGAAAAGGTATCACTAGCATTCAGAAATGAAAAGGAGAAAGATAACTGGGTTAGAAAGACATTTGCAAGCTGCTTGCACTCTATTGACTTTAAACAAGATAAGCCTGCTTCCTCCAACCTTGTTACCCTGAAGAATGAGTGAACTGTCAGGAAATCCTTATGGCTTGTGTAAATCCAATACACTGCATAGTAAGGATACAGCAATATCTTGCTGTTTTAACTGCCCTGATCTATTTTGTCTGCAGAACCATATTTATCACAGGAAGCAAATCCTCATCTACTGATATATTTAATTCAGATCATCTGAGAGTTCAATACAACCAATAAGCGTGGGATGCCAAAGAGATAAGGATGTCAGCTCAGATATTATTTGACCCCCCCTCCAGGTTTTCCTATCACCTCCTGATCTGAGTGGTCTTCTGACACATTCACTAAACTAAATGGAACAACCTCTGAAGTACTAGCAACCTTCTGGGGAGGTGGTAAATACTATTTCTGTTAGTAAGGTTATTGGCTAACAGCAAAGAAAAACCTCATAGCAAAGTTTGGAATGGTCTTGGACCTAAAAACTGAAGCTGTCTGCAAGGAAATATATACTTAGCTAATAGTAAGTTGTATACAAGTATTTATATTAATATGAGTGGCTTCTCACATATGGAAACAAACCTTCCTCCTATATCTTGGATGGGGCTTGGAGCAAGCTGCTCTAGTGGAAGGTGTCCCTGCCTGTGGCAGGGGATTGGAATTGGATGAGCTTTAAGGCCCTTTCCAACCCAAACCACTCCAGGATTCTATGAAATTTATCTTGAGTTGTGCTTCTTAGCTATTACTTAGAAGAATTTCTGTTGGCAGTAACATGACAGTTAGCAATGGATAGTCTGTTAGAGAAACCAGGAGAGTTTGTTCTCCAGTGGAGAATCAAGCACATTATTAACTAAAGCCCTGCCTGAACTTGAGCAACTCAAATACAAGCCAAGCAGAAAATCCCTGCATTTCTGAGGACTTTGAGGTTTAAGCTGATAAGACAGAAGCAGAAAAGGGAGAGTTTTGTTTCAGGCTAAATAGTGTTAAACATGCCCCACCAATTCTTTACTATTAAAAACCTGCAGACAGGAGGTGAGCAGCAATCCGCAGGTGGTCTTACATCAGGCTCCCCGCAGTCGCACTCCTCTCCATCTTCCACATAGCCATTCCCACACTTCTGTCCACCAAAGGACTCCTTGACTTCAGGCAAGTTAAACAAACACATTCCCACTCCTTTTTCCAGGCTGTTCTCCAGGTCCTTTCTACTGCAGCTACTGAATACCATGGGAAACGGATAGCTAGAAGAAAAATACACAAAGATAAAAAGAAAGGGAGTATTATCAGATGAAAACATCTCTCTCCTGTCACACTGGTGACCTTTTAACACATCTGTGCAATAACAAGAAGTTTGTGTTGATTTTTTTAACCCTTTAACATAGGATGGAGTTATAACAATTAGCTGTAAAATTGAGCCAAAAACCTTTATAATAATTCTGACCATGAGTAAGGGAATTTCCATCTTTTTCACTTAAATTTGTAACTGCTGTTAAGGACTGGAAGTGTTCACATTTGGAATTCCTTCTCCCTCTTTTGCATAAATAGCTGTAACGCTAATTTTGATCATGAGCCTAAAGAAATGCTGGGCTTGCAAGGAGAACGCCTGCATTTGCAGGACTGCAGAACATCCTAATCCTTCTTGGAAAATTCAGCCTCAAGTGGCAAATTAATTCATCTTGCTCTGCAGTACAGCAAAGTCCCTGCTCTTTTCAGGAAAAAAAAGAAGAGAAAAACCACCATGTTACTTGATAAGAGCCTGCTTCTGCAATTCATCAAAGTCGAGCTTGGGAACTACATGACTAAAGCAAATACAGTTCTTATTTTAAATCAGGATGACTGTAAAGACACAAATGAAAATGCCCATTTTTAAATTCATATTTTGAGAGCAGGATTTGGCCCTACTCTGCAGGCACAGAGCAGCTTTGGTTTCTTTTGCAAAACACATGGACAATGTTAGCAAAATGATCTGATATAATACGAATATCACCAGATAATCTGTGGTTTTCTGTTCACAGAATCCTGAAGTAGTTTGTGTTGCAAGGGACTTTAAAGCTCATCCAGTTCCAACTCCTGCCATGGACAGGGAGACCTTCCACAAGAGCAGCTTGCTCCAAACCCTTGTGTCCAACCTGGCCTTGTTGGAGGACTTAATTCCATTTTAACTAGTGAATGCTTTCAGACTAGCTCCTTATGAGACATAAAGTGACCTGGATCTTGCCATCATCTCCTAAACCCTCTCTGCACTGAGATGTGCACATGGTTATGATGAATCTGCATCGCAACCAAGTGATACAGATCGTAAAACAGCATCACCCCTAAATCACAGTACCTTGGCCACTGCCGCTCCCTGGCCCAGCAGTAATTCAACATTATAGCAGCACAGGGAGCCGACCTGATAATGACTGGACTTTATTCACTGAATGCTTTGTATCACTCCTGTTATTAAGGCATAATCTTTACGGACAAGCAAGACAATAGATGGAAGGTCTGCACTGCTGAACTTCAGACTTCGATTAATATACTGTTGTTTTTAATATCCTGAAATGAAAAGCTTGCTTTGTGAATGATGATGCCTGTAGGTATCAGAAAGGGATCGCTTCTATTAAAGAAAAAGAAATGTTTGACAATCACAAATGCAATATCACTTCCTGTGCTGACATAAGGGGGTTAATTAGGATCTTCTAGAAAGGTTATGGATACCTTACAGAAAGGGATTTTTGTGCCTATTCACAATTACCTCTTACAGATTACTTTGCAATAAAGCAGCCAGCTCATTGGAAAAGAACATAAACATGACTCTGAAGAGAATAATTTTTGTGTATCACTGTAGGGCTTGTCTAGTTAAACTAAACAGTTTTGTGATTCACTGACATATGACCTCAGAAAGTTAATAGGCATTTCCACTTAAAAAGCTGATTTCTGGAAAATATCAATGTTTAGGCAAAATGAGAGAGTCTAACATAAATAAAGAAATTTCAGAATGGCATGAGGTAGGAGTCAGGCTGCTAACTGCAGCTCTGGGCCCCAGGAGAAAACAGGGGAGGTACTTGGAGTAATGGAACAGAAAACAAAGGCACTTAGGAAACCTCCTGCGACCATCTTATATTGAGTAGTTGGAGACGTTCTTAAGTGGACATCACAAACTGTTGTCCTGCTCTTAGTCCAGTTGGATAAAACCCAACCCACACAATTCTGTGTACGTGACTACGAACAAGTGGATGGATGTTCGCTGCTGTCAAACAGGGAAAAAACAAGAAATCCAGAGATATCTGACTGATAAACCCTGCACAAAGTATGTGACTGCTCGATTAGACATGATCCTCATATCAAAGTATGAATAAATGAATACTGCATCATCCAGGCAAGACCCTTCACTTCTGTGACACAGATTTACTTTGATATCCACTGAGATGAGACAGGGAAACGTACATACCATACACAGACTGAAATCAATTCAGGAGCACACATAATGTATTTTTTCCTGTGCCATATGTCTCAGCCACACACGGGTAGTAAGAATAGCTTACAAGTCAAAACTGTCAATATTTTAGGGTGTTCCTTTGTACCCATGAATGCTCAGGGTCGTTTGCATGAATGTGAGATGTGTCTGTCCCTTACCGGCAGAACAGACTCCTTACTCTGTACCAGAGGTGAAATAATGTCACTGTTAATGAATGAGGTTTCTGTTCCCCCCCCCCCCCCCCCCCCCCAGAGGAACTTCAAGCTGTTTCCTATTTTGAACTAAGAAATCCATTCATCTTCTGGCTCTTCCTGCTCCTGACGCTGATTTCCTCAGCTGACATCAGTGCAGCACATGTTATTCGATGGCATTTTCTGAAAATGCTCTTTCTTTACTAAGCAAGCCCCAAATAAAACCAGAAATGAATACAACTAGTGGAAACAGAACAACTGAAGGGTAACCACACCATGCAAGAGAAGATCCCACATCAGTTGATTTCTGTTAGTATTTCATTGGAGCATAATTGAGGTTTAATACTGTGACATTCTGACACACAACCATTCTTCATCTTTTTTGACAAAGAATAATCCATGTAACAGCCACCGCATTTGATCATTTTGATTTTGGGTTACATTTTAGCTGTCTTTGCAATTTTAAAGCTGTTTCATCAGAAGCATGACATCCATGGCAGATGGGAAGGGAAGCTTTAGATCTCAGATGTCAGTAGCATTAGGCACCATGTTTAAGTGAATCTGGACCTTGTGCAAAATGACAAAGCAATGGTCATGTGAAGGAAACATCTTCTAAGCAAATACAAAAAGCTTTCTCGCATTACTCTGTTAAGAGGTGTCAGACCTCACCTAGAAGCACGACCTTTGGGTGGGAAAAGGTAATGTGGTCTCCACAGTAAAGTCAGCCTTGACCTATCTCCTAGATTTCAGTAACATGCTAAACAGGAATATTTGTTCTTCCTGTAGTAGCTCAGGCACTTATCCTATTGGAAAAACCCTCAGCCACCAGCTCATACAGGCCATTGAAGAACATTCCAGAGGTAAAAACATTCACTAGCAATCACTACACTCCATTATCCTTCACTCAAGTTATTTTTTTTCACAGACCCTTATTTTTAGGCAGTTGGGAAGAGAAACTTCAGTCCAGCCTAGTTCCTCTTGTAGGATGCTGAGTAGCCAACACATTTTCTACACTGTTTGAATCTGTAGATGCCATACAAAATGGATCATTTTGTGAAACCATTCTGGCTGCAGATACAACTCTACAGAACTCAAATTGTGCCCAGCACTACATCAGTCTCTTCAGTGGGTTTACAGCAAGGAAAACAATTTCAGATTCTTTCTACCCCTCTTGAATCTACAGCATTCTTCAGTTCCTCCTTAGTGCATAAAAGATGTGCTTAATCTCAAGCACTGCATATCCCAGTTCCCAGCAAAAATAGCTTTGACTGCTCCTGCAAATGAGACCTTCACGGTAGTAAGAGGAGGCCTGGTAATTGATTCTTTTAGAAAGAGAGTCTGGTCTTGTCCCATTCATTTATATTTCAAGCACTCAAGCCATTCAAATGCCAGTTTCCTTTCTGTAGTTTTGCATTTAGCCTGTATTAGATGGCTCCTTTCATTAACTAAGTGAAGTGGCATCATCACTGTGTCAAGTCCCTTTTCAGAACAGAGAATTCTTTGTGATAGCACCGAGTTACCCAGCATAGGCTTTTTTTTTTTGCACTAACTATGGAAGTCCATCTCCATCATTTCCATTTCAGAGGCACTCCCCTTCCTAATGGGTTCAATAACAAGAAAGTACAAGCACAGAAACAGTCACTGCCCCAGAAAATTATATTAAGAGATCAGACAGTGAAGGCATCCAGGAGAAAGAGTGGCTACTGATTCATGCAAGGTAATACCGGACATCAGCTACAGACCTAGCACTAATACCACCACCAAGGCTGGTGTGCCATGATCGCCATCACTGTCTTTCCCATTGCTCCATCTGGAAAATGCCTGGAGGCACACTGGCAGGAGATCTTTGCTCTGTTCCAAACCCTACCACTGCATTGCAGCTATACCTTGGGAAAACCATCTAAAGAAAAACTCCCTTAGTTCCACCAAACCATGTCTACCTACATCCTCAGCAGCCTAAATGTTTAGTACCTTGGATCTATCTCCTCCTTGTTCCTCCATCATAAACTAACCTATTTTGCTGTTTCTCAAGAAGCTTCAGTGAAGCTGTAACACCATCAGTGCTTCTGGCAATTCTCTATGCATTGCACAGGAGGATAAACTGCAAGTTCACAATATCTTGAAAACTAACATTTTTGTTATTATGATTATCACTATCCAATCTCAGTGTTTTTTTCTTATTCAAGAACTGTAGAGCTTTTATAAAGTAACTGCCTGTTCTCTCTTAAAACATTGGTACATATACACACGTACATTATATGTATGTATAAATTATATACCTATTTATAGGGTTCATTTATTCCAGTTCATGTTGCAATCTGATTATTCAGCATTATGGTAATGTTTATACAGAGCTTTTTACCAAAAGGCCCTGAAGTGTTCTACAATTATTCACTCAATTAAAATGCACAACAGCCCCAAAGAGCTCTATTAAGTACCACCAGGCCTTCCTCCCTGAGGTAATATGATAATTGGAGATTATATTAATTTTAAAAGGGCATTTTGTTTTTCTGGAGTATACTTATTGAAACAATTGTTGACTACCTCATTTCCAAAGGTGCAGAAAACTGGGAATGGGCTTTTCCCAGAA